GTGCCATGTCGGACCTTTTTGACTAGGACCTTCTGGACGGCCAGATGCTCTATGGCGCTGGTTGTGGGTGAATGAGGATAGCACGCTGCTTGGGGCTTCATTGGCATATTCATCCTCTTTAGCTACCGCAACCAGATGCCGATGGTAGCTATTCTGATGCAGGCTGCCAAGTGACCCTTTCTCATGTCAAGAGGGCCGACAAGACATGAGCGGAGGAATTCATTTATCCATCCCCAACTGGCTTCGACTCTGCCAAGCGATTTCGGGTGGATAGAGTGATGAAGACCTACTCTGCAGCGCCCGTTCTCTGGCACACACCAGCTGCCATGATTTCACACCCGTTTGCAAGAGCCATGGACCCGTCTCAGGGTGCCCGGTGTCCGCTTCTTCTCCTGGGAGCTCTCCCACACTTCTGCTTGCACTCCCCTCGTACAGGTAGGTGGCCTGACCGGCGCAAAGGAGGATACCACCCAGCCAAGTCCCAGAGAAGAAACTACACCACCATTCAGACGGGAGCTTGAATGGTGCTGCTGCTTTTCACCTACGATTTAGGACTTGACGTTTCGTTGGGCGGCCCGCTTCATCATCCCAAAATCACCCCTGGAATCTTGTGGAGCTGTGTTTGAGGGGTGGAAATTTCAATAAGAAGGCCGGAGTGTAAATGTAGATCTGATAAATTGAATATATCTATATGTACTACAATATGGTAGTATAGAGTAATAAACAGATATAGAGAGATAGAAAGATTTTAATATATACATATGCATACAAAAACGACTTTCCTGAACCGAGACTCCTCTTTTAGAGGTAGTAGAGGGGAATGTGCGTTGCAAACTTTCAGAAGCTTTGCCACTTATTATAAGTGGTTCACACCCAGCTGATCCCGGCTGCCAAGGCCATGTGACATTTGCGACGGCCGAGCGCACCACGCTGGTCGAGGAGGCCGTCGACGCGGAGGCAAGGCATCCGCAGTGCGCGTGTGTTCTGCTAGGTGGTGGACCAGTGGTGGATACTGGTTTCCTGTATGATCAAGTATGTTTATGTTCAACCTTTACTTAGGGATGATTGATCCTACTGACGAATATGTTCAAGTGCGTTCAATCCACCAACCAGTCACTTTCGACATGGGTTTTGGGTCAAAGGGGCCTGGCAACAAGGAGGGAGCATCGAAGGATTGCAGCCTTGGGGAAAGACGACCATCGAAGACTGTCATCGGAATAAAGATTCCAAGGGCCGTTCCAAGAGCTGGAAAGGTGGCCATGGATGGGCATAAAAGGAGTGGTTTCAAGTCGTGCACCATTTGATTGCCCCAAATGTTTTTGCTGGGGAAACCACAAGCATTGTTAATACATCGCCTGATCGGAAGGATGTGTCACATGATGTCTATACAACCCGTGATAGATTTTTCTTGTTTGTACTCTTTGTCATCCATTGAGTCTATGCTCACCTTGATGTCACAATGTGAGGCATCCAACTCCATAGAGAAGCTGTGCCTTGGAGTCATTTGCCATGGATGCCTAGAGTGGAGTTTTTACTTGGAAGTAGATGGCACAAGGAAGCAGAGGCAGACAGAGGCAGCTTTCCTCTCAAAGTCCCCAACTTGACAGAAAAGTGTCACATGGTTTTGGATTGGTCCACTTTTCCGTCAATTTGAAGACCACGTTTGATAGAGGCACCTCCGCGGACCTATCCTTTCGGACCAGTCGCTTCAAAGGTCGCCAGTCGCTCTGAAGGTCTCCGAAGTCGATATGAGATGGCATCTAAGATCTGTTTGTCGGGAGGGCATGGTCATGGAGCAAAAATTCCCCGTAGTTACTCTCACTACATTTGAGAGTCATGTATATGACTCTCCGAGAGGGTGATTGTCCCTGAAGCTCAACGTTTCAACTCCGTTCCTCAGGAAGTCCCGGTCACCGCCTGCAGTGCCTGCAGTCTCCATGTTTGTTCAGTCTTTCTCCAGATCCCCAACCCCAATAGGAGCAAAATACGTTCAAATCACGTGTTTTGTCGATACACATGGATACACTACGCCTACAGATTCTATGGGAGCGCTAGAGTGCCAGAGTGCCAGGTGACCCCCCTTAGGATTGAGGAATTCTTGGAGCGTTGCATCAAAGAATGTTTTTGGCAGCTCAAACTTGCAGCTGAGAAGAGGCCACGCATCTCCTCAATTAGACCCCCCTGTCTACCAAGCTTTGCGTGCGCAAGAGCAAGGTGCTTTAAGCTGCCTTTGCTAACGGGCCGGCAAAACCACACGGAAGACAGCTTGGAGTTCAAGGTGGAGTGGCTCAATCTGGAAATTGGGTTCTGCATGCAGGGGAAAATGGTCTTGAAAGGGTCCATGTTCCATGAAAAAGGAGAACGTCCTTGGACGTCCTTTGTTTCAAACTCTGGAGGTGCGCGTGTGCCTGGGGAGGATACGTAGTACGGTAGGGTCAGCCACCCCTGAAAAAGAAGTCCTTGATAGTTTGAGTGGAATGTGAGCAGGTCATTTGGTTGCATTGGAATGCTTGAAGCCGAACTGAAAGACATGATCCTCACGTCCTACAGTATCACCTATCACTCACAAATCCCTTCCCCTGGATCTAGCCTTACCCAACAAACTCGCCAGAAGCCTTTGATGAAATATATACTATACATATAATATAAGCTTGCTCACCAAGGTCCGTTGCATAAGAGGTATTCAGGTTTGCGGTCCAGAAGTGAATAAGATCTAAGAAGCATCTGAATATACACAAACTGCCCAACCCGACCATTCCTCATGTTCTACTAGATGATTGCCAAGCCCATTAAATCCACAAAAGTCTCCCACCGTACCATGGAATTCGGTGGCACGCCTCGATCCTGAAAGACACAGACAGACAGACAGACAGACAGGCAGGCAGGCAGGCAGGCAGGCAGACAGACAGAGACGGTCGCGGGCGCGCATAAAAACACATGATTACAGACCCCTGCGCGGCAGGTGTCCAGCGACGAGTCGTTGGGTGTGTCGGTGAAGCTGAAACTGCCTGCGCTTCGGTGGCTTGGTGAAGTCATCAGCTTGCGGGTCATCGCGGATGGGCAGATGGGAACGGTCCCCGTCGGCCGAAGAGCGTGCGTTGTCGCCATTGGCATCCTCTTTTGGTCGTCACTTGCTAGGGCCGCTAGGGGGTTCCGACGAGCAGCAGGATGGGTGTGTTGGCGTGTTTCGGAGTCGGAAGCACCATGAAACACCATGAAGCACCATGAAGCACCATGACACTGTGACCCGTCTGACCTCTAAAAGGGTTCCGAACCGAACGATCCGAACGGGCCCGCCCGGGTGAAGAGTTCTCATCTTGGCACCCAGGGTGGGCCAGTAACGTCAGAACATCGATGGAATCGCAGAGTTAGAAGTGATAGAAATTCGACGCAGGCAGGAACGCAGTAATCCCACAGAAAATCAAGCAGAAGGGTGTGTCAGAGGTTTTGGTGAAGTTGATCCTCGAAACGAACATGTTTGATAAAACAACTTCAAAGTCTTGGAGGACACCAGGACACCATTGCCAATGTCGGGAGGTGTTTCCTGGAACCCATCCCTGACTGACTACTTGCAGAACGACAGAGCTGCGAGGCCATAGGTAAAAAATCAAGCTGTTTGAAGTTTCAACCGCAATCGAATTACAATTTGCGTGCGTCATGATTCACCTTTCCAAGGGACTAGGTTGGGTATAGGTCAAAAGTAGCTGGAAAACAGTTTCCTGGCACGATGTTTACATATGATGTTTACCCTTTGTTTCGGGATGAGACCACAGTGTTTCACTCACTTCGCTGTTCACCGGCCTTTTCAGGAGGTCCATATCCAAGAATTTCACGAACAAAACAACTTCTCCGCTATCTGTTCTTCAAGTATATCTTTCTTTCAGTCCAACCATCTTAATGGGGAGACCTCCCCTTTCGACCTGCTGGAGGGTTAATAGACCAGTCTACCCTTTGGTGTCTCCCGGGTTCCCCCTATTCAAATTCACACCCATGGGAGCATGGCATGGGCCGAAGCAGCGGCCGCTTCGTGCTACCCAAGGTCCTGGCAGCATGTCCGCGGTAGCGGTCGAGTTTTGCCACCCGGGCGGGAAGCCGGCGACGCAGTGGTGTTCGGTTGCGGGAGGATGGGCACGGTGTGGTGTGAAGAGGTTCAATTTGGGTGGCAAAAATGACGGGTTTATTGCATGAAAAGGTTTTTGTTGTTTCAAGGGACGAAAGGGAAAGACACGAGAAAACCTTCAGTTTTTTTAAGTCAAGACTGAACATTATGGTACAAAGGACACATCAACACTTGTGCGAAAGGAATAGAAATGACTCGGCTATGACAAACTAGATTGTTCATTCGGACTCGGAACTCGGGACTAGGGACAAGATAGATTCTGGGTGCTTGCGTATCATCCAACAACCCAACAACCATCAGATAGGGAAGGCTTGGTCCAGCATGGCCAACCACAAAGGCAGTTATTCAAGCTACGATCCTGCAGGTAGGACCAGCTGGAAGTCTTCAGTTCTTCCCTCAAAACGGCAGAAGTTTGCCCAGTCCAGGATTCTTTGCAACAGCTGGGTTGAGCATATATGTTTGCGTGAATTAGCAGTTACTCTGCCAGGAGATACACGGTCTCCTCGTTCCACTGGTTCCCATGAGCCCCCAAAAATGCGCCACGAAAAGCAACGCGAAGCGAAGCGTTCCCAAAGGCCCAAGCCATTGCAACGACCACGCAGTCGTGGGTGTTTGCGGATGAAATGGTGGCATGGTGACTACCGTCATGGCAGATCCGGGATAGTAAACAGGCAAATGAACATTGCTAAATGGAATCAAACCAGGTGATCTCCCCTAGTCCGGACCGAAGTCTATCAATTTCCGACGTTTTACAGCGGATGCAGGGCATGCGCTGAAAAAGCTGAATTAAGTCAGGGCGTGAGACCTACTGTAGATTGGGTGTTCCATTGGTCCGCAATGGCTGGTAGTCAGGCAAACGAAACGGAAAAGCCATCTTTGCATGGGTGAAATCAGCCCAGTTGCTATGCCTGAGAGCTTGGGGTAGGGTAAAGCTAGTAGCTTCTAGCTACTAGTAGCGATGGCCTCCACCCTAGAGCTTGGGGGAGCGTAAAGATGCATCGACACGTCTCGGTCAACACGTCTCTTTTGGGACCAGAAGAAGCACCCATGCCTTGTCAGCCGTGGCCGATCTGGCCGAGGCGTGAGCGAAAATTGCCCTCCTTCACACAGAACGGTGACACCCTGTTGAAAGCCAAGGAGATGAGGGGCTTTTGGATGTTCTTCCATGTTCCTGGTTTTGCTTCAAGGTGTGTTAATTCTATGGCCCTATGGATCAATCCCCTTCCTGGAGAAGATGTTTGTGTTTCTGTCCAGGTTCCTGGACAGCAAGCCCAAGTGTTCCAACTCCTTCAAGCACCAGTGGTGTTTGGACCTGATCCGACGCCTGATCCGACTCTGGGTCAGCGGACCCGCGGTCAGCGGTCGGTCATAGGAGGCGGCCGCCTCGGAGGCGTTGCGGACGCTGTTTCGGACCCTGAACACGCGGCTCTCCAACAGCCACCCGGTGGCAGATGGCCGCATGGGCCCGAACTCGGAGGCCATGTTGCTCACGGAACCACAGGATGCTTCTGCAAGTCTCCACAAGTACCATCCTCCAAAAGCTTCCCCTCGCCTTCAATAAGCAGGCGATGTTGGGTGTCATCTTGGTTCAGATTCGCAGGTTCACCTCGGAAGCAGCACAAGTGATCCAGGTGAACCAGATCACTTCCAGGTGTTCACCAGGCGTCTTGCAGGAGCCTTCTCGTCTGCCGCACTCTCTAAGGCAACAACAAGGAGTTGGCAAAATACCTGGCGTCCTTGTTCGAAGATGCCGTGGAGCTCGTGCAGTTGAGCCACTTGGAGGATTGGCTTGCTCGGCAGGGTGCAGGTCAGTGGCTTAAAGCTCCATTGCCGCAGCAGAGAAGCACCATGGCCTCCCTAGTAGCTATGGCCTCCACCCTAGCAATAGCGATGACCTCCAACCTACTAGCGATGGCCTTCAGCCTACTTGCAATGAACTCCACACCAGTAGCACCATCGTAAGTGGCTTTTGAACAGCCTTGGCCTTCAGTTCTCACAACATTTTGAGAAGCTGCCTCCACTCTGTCACCAAGCCACAAGCTTCGTGGCGTTTCCATCTGCCCCCACTGGGTCCGCCCGCTTTTGGCCCACGAGGATTGAAGGGAGATCCTGAGGAACGAAGCCCAGGCAGCATGTTTTTGTGATTTTTCGGTGAGCGGTCAATGAGTCAAAGGGCGCCCCAAAAGCTTAGGGAGTTGTAATTGGTTCCGAACCCGCAGATCCAAGTTGACCTGTTTTCCCACCGGTGCGGTGCGGTGGACCCCGCACCCTTTGCTGATGTGAACTCTAGTGACCCTGGTGGCCTTGAAATTGAGATCAGCTGAGCCTTCACTGGAGACTCCAGCTACCAACGTTCAAACCAAGCAGATTGAACTTGGTGAATGCACGTCTCAGCCATGCACCGCCATGCGGCTTTGCGCAGTCCGTGTCCTCTCACCGTGTGACCAGACCGACAAGTCTCTCACCCACCAGAGGCAACGTCCTTTATAGCTTGGCTTATTTGGCGCGGGAGCCATACCCGCTGACGCCTGAGAAGCGCATGCTGACGGCGAGTCACGTGACGCTTGGGACGTTTCAGCGGGGTCAGAACAGTCGCAGGGTGCACACGAAGGGGAGAGCTACCATGAAAGTCCCTGTTTTGCTCGACGAACTAACTTCGGACGTTCCTGACCGTTGGAATGGTGGTGGTCCATCCGATTGGGGTGAAAAAGAAGCATACACTTTCAGACTGGATTCAATTGGACAACAATGAACAGTGCCAAAAGTTGTTCCTTTCACCAGCATACTGTATACAGTACACTGTATAAGGGTGGGTGCCCAGGGTCTAGGGTCCTTGTCAAAGTCTCTCGCTGTTCAAAGTACCGTGGATGTTCAAATCCACAAAAAAGAATCGAGCGCCTTGGAACGTTCCGCCAATGTTGGAGCTGTATGTGGTCCTTCCTGAGCGCGTCAGGAAGACCTTGCCTGAGGGAGGCTACCAAGTCTTCATCCAACAGAAGCAGAGAGCCTTGGCAGAAGTCTTTCTGGGCGGGCTCTGGTGGCTCTACTCATCTCGCCCCAGCCATCTCCAATTCCGAGTGAGTCGACCAGGATCCGAGTGAGGAAGATTCGGACCCGGGCAGGTCCGGGTCCTCTTCGCGCTTTGGTCGTCCTCTCCGCTTGGGTCTTCGGACGAAAGGTGAACACTTGGGGGGAAGGGTGAATCCTCCGAAACGTGTGCGAATATGGTCGCAGTCGCCATCGGGTTGTTTCAGTGGCTGTGGAAAGAATTTCTTGATCCCTCTCAATAGAAAAAAGGGGGGCCCATAACCACATGTATGGAGTTTTGATCCGAACCTCTGGGTGTAGTCCTGTGTCCCTCCAGCTTGTAACGGGGATGCGGACAAAAACTGCTGAGGCCTTTGAGTTCCTTTTTCAGGGTCTTCAGTCTCGTTCAGTCTTTCGTTCTGAACCAATCGGCGACTTGCGAGCCGAAAGTCTGCGATGATCGGGCTGATGCGGGCGTGATCTCACGGGTGCCTAAAAGGGTAAACAAATTGATTGAATGAGAACCGCTGCTGCATCAGGCTCAGTTTTGCCATTTGCCAAACTGGGTGAGACTGTTGCGAGACATTCTGTAGTCGAATCGCATTTATGACAATTGAGAAGAACAAAGTTGCCTTGCTGCTGTGAAGATCATAGCTAGGTACAGATAGGTAGCTTGACATGATTTGACTTTTGCATGTATCCGCACCGCAGCTTGTCACAAGCGTTTTGCTTCGGAAACACCGCTTGTTTTCTTTGCGCTTTTGCCCCGCGTCTCGTTCTAGCTTACGCTACCCTGTGCACTCCGCATTGGTAGCGGAGCTCCTGATCTTCGATCGGGGGCTGATGGCCGAGCATGCAGGCTCGGGGGCGGCAGCCCATGAGTGGGAAGATGCTTCTTCCCAGACCCAGGCTGCGCCTGGAGAGGGGTCGCCCGCGGCGACCCCCAGGAGGATGTCAGCGGCATCCGATGGTGCAGTTCATGGAACGCCACAAGGCACACCTGGATCAGCACAGTCAGCTCCGGCGGCGCCCGCAAGACGCATGGGTGGCAAAGGTAAGGGTTGGACACCTTCGATGCCACCTCCGCAGATGCCTGTTCCTCCAGCATACACCCAACCGTACCCGGCCATGTCACAGCTGCGATGGGAACAGGATGTCTATGGGCACTGGTGGCACAGCGATGGACAAAATTGGTGGTATGGCCATGGAGGTTCACATCGTTTCACTGCACCACCAGCTGGAACCATCCCCACGACAACATCGAGCATTGGAGCTTCTTGGCAGTATGTCAACCCTGAGACTATGAGGCATCCCTCAGGGCCGAAGCCACCACGAGAACCAGCACATCCCAAGAAGCCATCCAAGCCGGAGTCACAGAAGAAGTCTCCGAATAAGAAGAAGCCTCCGGCAAAAGAGAAGAAGAAAGCACCTCCTCCTCCACCAGAGGAGGATGAAGATGATGATGACGACGATGATGGTAGTGAAGGTGGAAGCAGTTCATCCTATGAGGAAGTGGAGTATGAGGAGAGTGAAGAAGAGGATGGGGAGTTCACAGATGATCCAAGTGTGGCGGCGACCCCAAGAGGAACTCCAAGAGCTGCACAGACGCCGAAGGCCGCTGCCAAGGCGAAGCAAGCAGCAAAACCAGCTGCAAAGCCAAGACCGGCAGCGCCGGCAAAGGCAAAAGCTGGGAAGGCTCGCCCAGCAGATCCTCCAAAGGATCCACAACCGCCGAAGGCCTTCCATCGAGCGGCCAAGGTTGTGAAGAAGAAGCCCAAGGTCGAGAAGGACCAAGATCCGCCTCCTGCACCGCCCTCAGGTCCACCATCTCATGGTGGTTCGGCAGCGCCGTCGGATATCAGTACTGTGCGTACTGAATCCATCAAGGAACTGCTGAAGGGCAGGCCAGGCAGTTCAGGTGAGCGCAACCGCACCAACCTTGGACAGGTCAAGCTCGAGGTCTTCAAGGGCGACAGGGCCCATTACAGGAACTGGATCAAGACGATTCAGGCACAACGGCAGCTATATCAACTTCAAGATGAAGAATTGGCCGTTTTGATGTTCCTCAGTTGCGAGGGCGAAGCTTGTGAAGTACTGAACCCTGGAAGTCTCAGGTCCTTACTTTAAGGGTCCTCGGAAATGTTATGGATTGAGGTTCTAAAAGGAACGTCGGCAACATCACTTTGCTGATGTACTTTTAAGGGTCTCAGGTCCTTAAAGGAACGTCGGCGATCCATGCTGTTTGGCTTGAAAGGTACCAGCCATGGTATGATTATGTTGTATCATGACCATGGTACAACCCATGCAAGTCACTAGTAACCATGCTCCCTTTGTGCATCCAACGTTTCAACCACAACTATGCCTATGATTCATAGCTTGTGGCCAATGGCCATGCAATGCCCCGAAGATCGGTGAAAAGACAACAAGCACTGGAGCTCGAAGAGCAGCTTTCCGCCAATCTCTTCGGCCCTGGTGGAGCTGGCACGTTTGCAGATTTGCTCAAACCTCATTCGAATAACATTTCCAAGGACCCTAGCCTAAAGTAAGGTCGACCGGAGACTTGCAGGTGCATGGAAAACTCTCACACTTCCCCGCAGCCGCTTGAACTTTTTTTGGCAAGCACTTGATCTCAAGTGACTGCTATGCCACGCGCAAAGCTTGAGACTGATGCCGTGGATATCTTGAAGGAGTGGTTTCGTCGACTATAGTACTCATGAACACAGAACACGGGGAGTACGAATGCATCCATGGGTGCCATGTTTTAAGGATTTGAAGGACTTCCTGTCTCCAGGACTTCTACAACGGCTACCTGTCCAAGGACGATTACAAAGTTCGACGTTTCCATGACATGGCTCGAGCCAAGGGCGTTCCAGCCAACCTTGTTGCCAAGTCCCTTGAACAGGGGAAGGCTGGGCCTGTTTTTGGTTGGCTGTTGATTGTCAAAATGTTCCACCACTGCTATATCAAAGCGAGCAGTTTAAGCCTAATCTTGGATGCCCAGGAGTTAGGATGTCCCCGTCTTTCAAAGGTTTTTCATGCAGCAGTGGTTGGGAGTGGTTCATGGTGCTGATTCCTTGGAAATTATTCCCGAATCGGTGAGCCTCATCTCACCGGACCTGGGTATGTCACAGGTTCCATTTCTCTTCTCCTTCGTGCATCTGACCACCCGAGATCAAGATGATTTTGTGGCATCTGATGTCTGGGTGCCCAAGCCATGAATGGGCTTCAAGTGCAACACCTGCTGCCGAATGGTTGAATAATGTTGAATACGTCCATAAATGGGGTGTCAACAAGATCGATCTGTTTTGCAAAATCTGTTCCGAAGGTAGGGATCCGGATATGTCAATCTTGCTGCATATATGTTCGAATAAACGTGGAGACCAACATTTAGAAGTATTTTGAGGTCAAGCATCCGAACAACTCTGACTTGGTACTGAAGCTCTTGGCGACGGTGGGGCTGAAGATACCTTTACAGGAGGTCTTTGAACAGGCCTTGATCCTTGCTGGCAAAGAGCATAGCTTGCTTGGGGATGATGCCGCGAGTGGACACTTCAAGGCGTGGGCTCATGACACCAGCCCACCCACCCACACACACACACACTGTGAGCCCAGAATCTCAACTATGCCTAATTCTATCATGCAAATTGCACTGGCCAGTCAACATGGAGGTATGTGAAAGTACACCAAGCTTCACCGGGCTCCGCTGTACAATCTTTCTTTGGAGCATTCTGACCGCAGTGCTGGAAGTCCCTCGTCCCGCTTGTCCTCATTCCCTTTTTCATTCCCTTGTCGATCCTTTATTTTTCATTATTCTCGACTAGAATTATCTCTTTTTCTCTTCGATCCTTGCTCCTATTATTTCCCACAAAACCAATCTGGGTGTATGCCGTGCAGGATTTTCCTAAAAGCACCTGATTTCATGATTTCTGGGGTACCCTAAATCACTAAGCAGAAAAGTTTATGCTGGCATATAAGTAATCTCCGGCAATTTTTTGGGGTTTGTTTCACGACAGGATAGGATTCCGGATGCGTGCTAAAGGATTCCGAAGCTCCTCCGATATCAACTGGGTTCAAAGAACAGAACAGTGGGTTCATCATGCTTTATCTTCATCCCAGTCAGGCGTGGGCCAGCCGTGAAGCTGACATACAAAGGGGGCTTTTGCAGTATGCAATAAGAAGGGCAAGCAGAAACCCACTTTCGAGCAGGACAACGCACATGCTTGTGACATGATCAATTTCGGGTTAGAAATGGCTTCAAAGGCTTCAGTCTTGTGAGTCCTTCACCCATCTCCACCCAATCCTACCCTCAAGATCTTTAAATCAAAGCCATGTCGTTGCGCCAGGACGGGCTGCTTGCCCATGGCCAAGTTGAAAGCTCTGGTCCAGACCTTGCGAAAGGAGTTGCCAGGGGGGGTTCGGAGGCAGCCAAGTCGTCAGAAATCCCTCGCAGGTGACCAACCATCCAGCAAGGACAAGAAATCGGGCAATCGTCCCAGTCGTGGTCCTACCAAAGAAGACATCCTCCATGCAAAGACTTTGATGTTGGGAGACAATGATTCCGATGGCACCTTGCAAAATATTAAAGCGTCCAATTTGAGCTGCTGTTGGGAGTTGGTTCTTTGCACGTGCATGAAAATTTGTCCATCTGTCCATCCCTAGTTTTGCCCAGGTGCGACATCTGCAGCTGAAGGTGAACTGCACCCTGAAGAAGAATCCCTGACACATGACGAGTGTCTCAGTGCTTTGGGCAAAAATGTGCTTAATTACGAAGATCCTTTTACACAGGGGCAAACCTCTGTCGTCCTCATGAGAAAGCACTAGAAGTAGCCAGCTCGTGCAAATGGGCCATGATGTGCATGAGGTGATCCTGATGGTGTGCCTGTTGCTGAGCCAGCGCATGACCAAGAGAAGGCAGCCAAGGAGACTAGTACCAGACTTCTATTTCGAGCACTTCCAAAAAACATATCAGCGCCAGC